AGAGAGAGAGAGAGAGAGAAAACTGTTTCTTTTCAGAGAGAGAATTTAAGAAGAAAAGTCCACTTACTACCGTTTAAAGCTAACTTTGATTCATCTCTTATCACCACCATGAAAAACTGCATATTTAACTGTTTCCGACTGCTTACGTTGAATTCTCCCAACATCTGTCGAACCTATTCTAGAGTTCACCTCAAGCACAGGTAACTTTATTCCATGTAGACTTCGCTGATTGATTCCACGTCGCACCGATTATCGGCAGATGAAGACGACATTGCTTACAACGGCAGTGCAGGCGTAAAATTCACGTTACTGTATGTCCAGATGACTGGCTGCCCGCCAACGAGAACTGCACGATCTTCGTTTTGCCACAAAATCTGCCCTTGAATCCAATCGTGTATGAGACTTTTCAAGATCCGTTCTCTTGATCGTGATCATTAATATGTTCTTTCAATCTGTGGAGCACCTACGAATATTGGTGGAAGCCCTCCGCGTTTACTTCCTTATGTCCCACACTTGGTGGTGTTTCCCCGTATTCGATTAACTCAATACCACCATACAGTTTCCTTGGCAAAAAAGTGCTGGCTGCGAAATGAGGATCGACGAAACGGGAAATCGTTCCCTGACGGGAACGTGCAGATGGTAGGGCTACCGCGCCTTTGATGGCTCTTAGAAGCGGCACAAGTCTGCACAAAAACTAAGTACATCCACGAATTGTATAGCACACACCTGGAAGATCTGCTACGCCTGATGACCATGATGATGTATGAGCTATAACAATCACGTCCATCATCCAAGCATCAGTTACATTCATCACCTTTCTTTGTGCTTGTGTGTAAGTAGTCAGTGATGAAAGAACTGCACTCCACATTTTCCAATTCATTAAGCCGAGTGCAAACGGTCCAAACACTGGCAAACGTTGATACAAACAAACGGTGTGGCTTCTCCGACGTTTTTATTGGGTCTATTTGTCTTCGTTTCTTCTTGTTGTAGTCGATTTTTTTGGTTTTTGTGCTTTAAAGAAATATTATTCGAGTCCGAGATGGTCCGTTGCTGTTCTCTAGTCCCTCAATGAATCCGGATGAACTCCTCCAACGATTTCGGAATAAGGCCTTCGTAGGTTCGGTGGTTGGACTTCACCTTGCTTGCTGCCAGGCACTTGAGCGTGATAAGTTCAGCAACTTTAATTCGACATTCCTGATTGCCCCCGAGCATTCTGTATGGCTGGTTGCCTTGCTTATTTGTTCGGTCAATATGTGCGCCCGCGTCTAACAGCATCCGGACAATCTCTTCACGATAGTTGACTCTAAGCGATGCCGTATGCAGCGGTGTAGATCCATCCTCGTTCACGGCCTCAACATTAGCGCCGACTTGCAATAGCATGCGTGTTGTAACTGGGTCTGGGAAGATATGCTGTTGCTGCTGACGATGGTCCTCGAAGTACGGTTGCTGCAGGCTGTCGACCTTTCCAACGGCCATGTGCAGCAGAGAATTGCCGTTTGTCATTCTCGGATTAAGTACGACGAGTTTTCGTGCCAAGCGTAGCAGGTTGCTTTTTTGTGAAGACATCTTTGCCAATACCTCAGCTAAATGTAGAAGATGAATAAGAACCTTGAGCACTCGATCCCAATTTTCTTGCTGCTTACGGAAAACGGGTCGCTGTTGTAACTGCTCTATAGCGGACGGAAAACATTGCAGCAATTTCTCAAGTAAGAAGTCTACGTCGCGAAACTTCACAGGCTCGTCGAATACGCCCGAGGCATGCTTATCATGAGCGTCGAATAGTATTTTTGTTAACGATTGGAGAGCAACACAGGTCTCATTATGTAGCACAGTATCCTTACTCAGCCGAATCTCTACGGCGTATTTCCAGAGATCAATGCACCGCTGATGCTGCATGCTGTCAGCATAAGCGGCTCCCCGATACATTAGCCGAAAAATAGAGTCCTTATGACTCGGACCCAGCACCCGCTCGTTGACCAGCAGACTCTGCAGACGCATTTCATCCATGTCGTTAGCTAAAGCGTTTACGTCATCGAACGTTCTGAAAGGCACTCGATTAAGAAATACTTCTTTAGGTGGGTCTGTGATGATCTTCTTGATGTTATGCGCCTCCCGATAGGCAACAGCACGACGCCAGTAACCGAGTGCCATCGTCTTGTCATGATTCTCATCGAGGTAAGTTGCTCCAAGCAGCTCTAGGGCGTCAGCCACCCGATGTGGTGGGTAATCAATCGTGTCAATAAGGTACTCAGCAATGTTGGCACTTCCCTTCAGACACGCAGTTTGCAAGACATCGTCACCATGTTTGCTACACGCTGTGTGATCAGCTCCATAACTCAGCAAAAGCTTAGTCGTTTCGACTCGATCCTCTTGAACAGCATAGTGCAGTGCGGTCTTAAACTGGGAATCTCGTGCGTTGATATCAGCTCCCTTATCAATCAAAAACTGACACAGCTCGATTGATTGCACAGAGTTGATAAGGCAGGTTCCGCCATTCTGATTTGGCCGATTCACGTCGGCGCCCTGGCCGACGAGGAACTGTACGACGTCAATGTTACTCATATAGCAAGCTGAACGAACAGCCGTGGAGCCTGTGTCCGACACTGTATTAACGTCCGCTCCGTGCTCGACTAATATACGACAAACCTCAATCTTGCCCACAACGGCAGCGCACCATAAAGGCGTCACATAGTGCATTGTGCGATCGAACGGTACTTCGTAGATGCCGCGCTGTTCCGAATTTGCTCCGCACATCTCCAATAGGTAGCGCACGATCTCAACAACACCCTTCTTAGCGGCCGTGAATAGAGGTGTACAGCCATCACGTACTCGATTCACAAGCTGGCTGCGTTCCTGCAGGGAAAATCGCTCAAGTTTGTGACGCAGCGCTGGGCTTAGCCGACTGCTCGGAGTAGCTTGTCGCACCTCCAGTATGACCTCTTTAAAGATGTGGTCCCGCTGTTGACTGCGATCATTTTTGCCTGTCAGCCACATAGTGGTCCCTTTTATGAACGGATATCCCTAGATTCCTCAATCGATGTGCGTGAAGACGTGTACTAGAAGTCAATTCTTGGTGCACGCGAGTCACGGTGGCCCGTCGAAACCAGCAACAACGGGCCCAACAAATCGCTTACTGAAAAATTAATATTTCAGTTTACTATCAGCCTATTGAAACACCACACTGACTAGAGCCAGCTACACTCGCACCACTGTACCACTGAGGGAGGTAGCTATTCTGGATTAGCTGACGAATCCTCTGAGCAGGTTAACCTGATCCAATCGTGATCGTATGAGTGGGTAGCCTCTCTCAACAGAGATTACAGTAGAACTGATAGTAAACGAATTTTCGTCAACTCACACCTCTGTCGCGACGCTTGTGTTCCCCACCTCCAGCTGATCACTAACTGCTGCAGTTCACTGATGGCTCCCTGAATAAACGCTGTTGACTAGATGCCCGTCAAGCAAAGGAGCTTACTTCCGGCAGGATATGACGTCGCGAATCCTTTGAATTCGCCCGCGAATCCTGAATACATAAATTTCACATAGATGCTAGATGTGATTATAAATTATTTGCCCTTATATCAATTGTACTGATTATTGACTCAATTACTAAATGAGTGCTTTTGAGTTTGAAATCGTATACACCTCCACAAATTTCCAGAGAAGTTGCGGGCGCCAAGTTTTGAACAAGACTATCGAAATCATATTTACTTCCCATTTTAGACCTTTTTCTTTCTGAAAAAACTACGCAATCTGTCGAACTCTGAAGATAATATCCGCTAAAGATAAATACTTACTAACATTTTGTAATTTTTAATCAAAATATTCTGGACGTGACTTGTGCCCGGTAAATGACAACTGAGTGTTAAACGGAGACACCGATGTTTTGGTGGTTTTCGGGTCCGGAGACAAATTTGGTGAAATTTTCAATTTCGGTGTAAGTTTTGTGCGTTTTGTGAGTATAAAAGAATCAACTGGAACCATGACGAAGTGACGACATACACCTTAAGGCAAGGGTAAGAGTGATTTGGTGTAGAGAGCTGTTTGGAGGTTTCCGACGCCTTTGTTGACATCGTGAATTTAGCAAAATTTTAATAAAAACTCAAGCGTTTTTGAGTAGATTTCATCATCAAAAGGATCTCGGTGCATCTACAAAGATTCCACAAAAAGCCGTTCTCAGTATGATTATTCCAAAGTGATGTTTCGAGGTTTCATATTTGATGGGACGTGCTTTCCTTATGGTAACGCTAGACGCTAAGAAGTACCTGGTCATTTATCGGTGTCGAGTTTATAATACTTCGTTTTATTAGAGTCCACGTATTCGGACTACATTTTTTGATCATTAACTTTAGTAGAAGTGAATTTCTTTTCATATGTAATCTGGTACACACCTGCGTAATCCACACTAAGAAACACACAGTCCGCCGATCTTGTCCACTGTAGGCAGCTATTCGGAACGCAGCAGCGTTAAATCACGCTCGATTTCGATAAACGCCCTTTGAAAGCTACTCTAACGAGAATTGCATGTTGGATAGATTCATTTAGATGTTTCTTCTAATAGGTGATATTGACGTAAAGATTTAATTAAAGTTCGATCACTGCCATGATTCCATATAGCTGTGTTCGGGATCTACCTAGCTAAGCTATATTCCTAATGGTAATTAAGATTTTCGGTGTTCGTTGCGGATGATCGTTGCGTAATTGTCTTTTTTTCGTACTAAAAATAATTGATATAATAATAACTGGTTTGTGAACGGGCGACTCGCAGTTTCACAGTACTTCGTATGCGCGTTAGCAAAAGGAACATTGAGACGGTATATAACCTATATGTAATACTTTCATGTGGTTCAACCTGTTAATCGATCGAACCAGAAACATAAATTGCAGGGCAGTTTTTGACCATTCATGATGTCGATTCTACGAGAAAGCTTCACAAAAGGTTTTCCAATGATGAAACGCGTGTAAGAAATATATGGATAATATATAAATATTCCCGTATTCATAGAACCGAGTACGTTGTTTCTTCGTTCAAACAACCTAAACAATTGAGAGAAAACTCTTGTCCACGCTTCGTCACAGAACGCTTTGTAAGTTTGAAGAACATTATGAAGTTAATGATTACTCACAGGTGAATAAAATCTCGTCTGACATAGCTAACGATATTTCATTGCAATGCCTGAGTTTTTAACTCTATTGTAATTTCGCTTTTAAGCCTGCATTCCTGAAAAAAAAACAGATAACACCGAATTTGGCTTATTTATGCTGAATGAACCAATAAATCTAAGAAGCGTGTTTAGCGTCTGCTATTGAAATAATCATGTGGGCAGTTTTGAACGTTATTGGTTAATACCAAACGCATTAGCATACAATCGGTTGCATGTCAGATGTTATTGGGGTACGACCCACTAAGGTTTATGGACCTACGTTTGATCTTGGTCTCCTTTAATTAAACATATACAACAAGAATGTATGTTTTATGCATTGTATTCAATGATATCATTGGGTCAGTGAGATCAATAGATTACCATTTAAAAGACCGTAGTATTTTTAATGCGAAAGGACAATGTGTTTCCGGTTACAATAAGTCTATCATTGACCAGAACTATATGGAAAGCGCAAGTACTCACAAATGCAGCGTTCTTTACGCCTTCAGTTGGGACATTCATTCAAACTGGGATTTGTTTCAGCTTTTTACGAGATTACCAGTCTTCTGTGTGTGTGACTAATGTGCTTCACCTATTTAAGAAATAGTTCTAGATATTAGTAATGCATGATTGGCATATATATATATATATATATACTACTTAATTTTACGTGCAGGGTTTTGAGTCTTTTGAACGACCACGTCAATGTATTTTGAAGCATTGAAAATCTAAATTGCTCTAGATGTGCTAAGAGTCACATTCGTTCACTTCCACTCTACTTTGTCGGTTCCTGGTTGATTGATATATCGTGCAATATACCGTGCTCCGATACAGAATCTAAACACCGTTATTTTAGCCAAATCAATAGGTTGCAATGATATTATATATAAAGGATAAAGCATTCGCCATCGTGAAGTCCGATTTTTTTTTATTTGAGAACAATATTATTAATTTAAATAGGGGTCATTTTAATCGACGACCTCTTGCTATTTTTCTGCTAAAATTAAAGCTGAATTTCTTGCAAAAATTGCGTTCTTCCATTGAAGTTAAATTAACAAACATTAGGGAAGTTCTGCAGGGATCGGAAAAGGTTCGGGTTATACGCCGGATGCATTAAAATTTTTCATCGAAGTTCTGTTAATTGTCAGACAGTTAAGGATGTATGTGCGCTGACATTGTCATGGTGGAAGAGGACGGCTTTTCTGTCCACTGGTTTTGGTTAATTTTTTTCAATAGCTTATTATAATGTTGTTGGTTGTTGAAAGTAAAAGTCGGAATTAGTTGTTTTGCCAGACAGCAGCAACTTATAATACGCGACTTCTTTCTACTTACACTAAACAGAACATCATCACCTTCTTTGGCGTCGGTCTGGAATTCGCTACAGATTGAAGAGCACATTTTTTTGGCGTAGTATTGTCGTATATGATTTACTTCTTATTACCTGTGACCAACCTCTTTAGAAACTATGGTTCGATGAAGTTTCGCAGATAGAAATCTAATTAAATACTTTCGTCTCAATTCGTATGGCACTCGAGTATCGATCTTTTTATAGCCGTCTCTCTCGAATTGTTTAAAACTGTGTAGTGGTGCATGTTTAGTTTTTTTTGGCGATGTTATGGTTGCTTACGTGTTGGTCTTGTTGAACTGTAGCAATGATTTCAGTAACTTTACTTTTAATTAGTTTAGCGTATCCTTTGTATCGAAATTTCCATAATGAAAGCGACAAAACCATTTTTGACCCGTTTCTTTCGATAACATGTCTTGACCATAAACACTACATATTTTTAGGCGGTATTTGTATATATATATATATTATGAGTTTATATAAGTAAGCGAATTTTTACGGAAATTTCACCGTCCTCAAGGTGCTCTATTCTGAGTCTGCGTAAAGATATTGCAATTTTAGCACATCTACGACCATCAAATCTCAGCTTTCAAATGACATTAACGCTCACCTAACGGGATATCTAGGTACGTGCCTGAGGTACCTGAGGTATCTGACATCTAGCTAGAAAAGCAGTCAAATTTTTTTCAAACCTTGTGCACGTGGACTGTTAAAAAATTTCAAAGGGCTACGAGCGGTTCAGTTTTACTTTGTCAAAATGGCTGAAAGCCTTCACTAGGTTTTTGTGTAGTTCTTTTCATTTATTCAGAGTTTAGTGGCATCGTTAGTCGTTGTGGGCCAGCAGTGAATAAAACATGCATTTTAATACTTGAAGCTATTCCTGTGATTATACCAAGAAGTCGTAGAATCCTATGGAAACAAAATGCCATATAACTTGCCAAAACAAGTTGTTTTTAAAACACCCCGTGTATTATAGGAATATTTAGTCTAAATTAAAGCACGTGCGTATCGAAGTAAAGAGGTAACGTTCCCTCAAGCATCACCATATAGTTGAAAACGAAAATTTAACCATGGAGGCCAGCTTCGTGGAACAGTAATTTTTTCGGTTTTTCGGGGCACGAAAGATTTGATAAAATGTGCGTTTCATTATATTTTCAATAAGAATGAAGCAGAATTTTGCTATATGCGACTAATACCTGTGCGCAAGCTCTATTTCGATACTTAAAAAGTCCGGATTATGCCAAAACGGCTATCTGCTTTTAAAGTTAGATATCGAAAGTTATTTTTTCGTAATATCGTTAAGAAGAAGGTTGCAGATTTTGTTAATGTAGTTTCATAGTCCCACGCCTTTTTCTGTGCACCAGCAATAGTCTCATTAAACGATTGGAAACGTTCCGAAGTGTTTTTTCAAAACACATTTAGATAATTCTCGTCTGCCCTCGTATTCTAGTTATTCAGTTTCCTGATTTACTAAACATAATAAAATGTTCATTCAATAGTAACAATAGTGACGGTCAGCGTGGCGTAATAACAACGCCATAGAACCAAATTCTACTGGTATAGTATCAAATCAATTTTGCCTTGTAATTACAGATATAAAATTATAATAACATTTTCATACTGACGGTAACCCAACTGTTTAACAACGGTCATAACTTACAGGTAATATTTATTATAAATAATAATAGCACGGTTATAACTTTGTTCCAGATGAGTGAATTAATGTAAGTACGGCGTCAGATGGATCTCCATCGTACCAGCAATTATATGATCGGAACAATGTGTGGGTGAGTAACATTCGTGTCGTCATCGTCAGCTTACTGCAACTATTCTTCCCTAGATAATAAAAGATTCTATGAATCTTATAGTCAACATACAGTGCGATTACATGTTATGAACGAAAACTAGATTTGTTTCGAACAATGATCAATGAGACAGGTTTCTCTTCGTAACGTGTTTTTGAGTTTCTTACATCATGGCTGCTGTTTTTATCAACTTGGTGTTCAAATATCCGATGTACTCACTAATTTTCATCGATTAATATTAGTGGTTTTCGTAAATACGCCATTAATTAAATTCTACGCCTCAGAAACTTTTCGTTTTTGTTATGAATATAAAGGCAATACAGAAGGTTTGCAAGCGCGCGATTACATCCCATTGCTATAAGCTTTTGCTAGTGCCGTTCCGTATGAGAGTAATTGTTTTGTTGTACACGTTATGTACAATGTACTGACAAGCACATGCCTCGGTCACAAACTTAAGTACATTTCTGAAAATTCAATTAGTTTTTTTATCTGTCTCTCTAATTTACAATTGCAGAGGCGAATCACCATACAAGAGTGAACAGCAGCAACAGCTGATTGAGCAGGGTCTCATTCCAAACCCGCTGTATCATTCACAGCACCCTGCGCCTCAGCATCCTTCTCTGGGTAGCGACAGGCACCACCTGCAACAGCCTACATCTCAACAACAGCTGCAGCATCAACAGCAAACGCAAGTCTGCGGCTTACCTATGGCGCGACCGCTGGCTGCGGTCAGCCCGGGCTGTGGGGTTGCGACGTATACGTCGCTAACTAACGGTACTGGCTGCAATATCGGCATTACTGGAAGTGGTAATGCTGCTAGTGTAAACCTTACAGTTGACAGTGCATTACATCCTGCTAATGGCCATTCGAATGGCGCAAATATTAGCCTGCAGAGTCTTGCTGTCGTCATGGACAGTTCACCAATGAACGCTGCTCTCCGCCTAATCGGTGATCCTGCAGTGGTAACGCAGCCAATGGTGCTAGCGAATACTGCGAGGGATACGCAACGTGCTTCTAGAGGGCAAGAGATAAAACCGCAAACAGATTCGACTCAGGCCTATACCTCATACAACAAAAAGGACAAACCTTTAGGGCTGACAGCTAGCAAGAATGACATTTCTCCAGTAACAGCACAAAGCATCAACGGTTCGGCAGGAACGTTAACGACGACAACGCCGGTCACTGAGACGATGGCAGTTAGTACATCCGAGCAGCAATCGCAACAACACACCGTAGGTATGCCGCCAACGGCGAGACAAACGAATGGTGGCCGGCTGTCGCAAGATGGAGCACCTACGGGCTGTGTCGGTGGACTAGGGGCTCGTGGAAACAATGGGAGCCTTTCAAATGGAATTTTATTGCCACCTCCAACTTCACCTGCACCCCGACCCTCGGTAAAGAGATGTGCTAGTGAAGACTGGGATGAAGCAAACAAGGAGGATCTCAAGCGGGCTTTAGGAAATGATGGTAGAACATCTGAATCGGCCGTTTCTACTGGTAATCAAACTACTGAGGCTATGTGTCCCATTCGAGAACCGTCGGAGTCGCTTTTAGGACCGACGCCTCCACAACCGAAGAAACGGGGCCGTCGAAAGAAAAGCGAAATACTCGCTGCCGAAATGGCCCGAAGGGCAGAGTTGGGCCTGATGATTGGAGGGAACCGCGAACTGAGGGACGCCCGAATGAATGATGTTTTCGGTGGAGTCATCGATGGGGATGTGCGTCGAGCAGGGCGGGAGAAGAAGCCCTATGATCCGTGGGCGAATCGCAAGGCTTCTGGCCGGCCCTTTGTTCAAGACGGTCCATGTTTTGCGCTACTCGACGTAACCTCAAAGAAGTTCCCAAAATGTAGCTCCTGCAGAATTAATGACGAAGTGAGCGAGTGTCGCTTTAGTGAATTTCGTAAGCTGCGGTTTGTTGGCGACCTTGTTCAAGTAGACGGATTTACAGATTCCGACGATGCACAGGATTCCGATCGTCGAATTTGGATGACAGCAGACCTTAGGCCCAATGTTCCTGATGCACCTTCGATAGGTCCGCCAGATTCAGCCGTTCCTCCAGAAACAGAAGAGGCACACCACCCGACGCCTGTACAAGGCGCAGCTGTAAACCGTCTTGATGAGAAGACAGCCATTATGGTACTTACCAATGTCGGGGATATCATGTGCGATCTCGTCCGCGAAGAGGCCAAAGTGAAAAACGTAAGCACAAACGGAAAATTTTGTAGCCGCGTTCAGTATTTCTATGCAGCCATTTCATGGTTCATGTAAAACCTAAGAGTTTTGATTTAAAATAATTCTTGCATTTATTGGATTTATGTGGCGCTTTGCCTATCGTATTTATTGATTTCTAGGACTATCTTGATTGGATGCCACCCGAAACCACAAACGCAGGCAGCACTGCCAAAGTGAAGTGGCGACGAGTTTACGGCGTGCGAGAGATGTGTGATGTCTGCTCGACAACAATTTTCAACCTTCACTGGACATGCGGCCAATGCGGTTTCGTTGCTTGCATTGATTGCTTCCGTGCGCGAGCCAAGCGCGATGAAGCTATTGACCGAGAACGTGTCGACGGTGTGGCACCGGAGAGCAGCAATGGTCCCGCCACGCAGGGACACTTGCAGCTGGGAACCAACGGACGTGAACATTGGACTACTCGAAGAAGTAGAGAACAACATCAAATTTACTCAGACAAGGTACACATAGTAATAATAATAATAATAAATAATAAATTAATATTATTATTATAAAATTTCCATTCACCTCTGTCATGACTAATTCCAGGATGCATTTCGGTGGCTGTACTGTGGTAACCCAAAAATTCAACGATCGCATTCGCCTCGGAAGTTGTTGATGACACAGATTGTGCCCGGAGATATCCTAGAGCGAGTTAATCGACAGCAACATGAAGTGCGGCGTCGGCGAGGTATTCCCATGCAGTGTGGGTGTGACGGCGATGGAAAACATCCATCAGAAGAACAAACTAATGGCGCTGTACCTCATGCTTCGGAACAAACAGAAGGCAACGACTCTGCCAGATCGCCGCTTACGAAGTCCGGTCTTCGGTTAGCAGCTAGGACTAGACTCAAGGTTCGTACCGTCTGACGGTAAAGATATCTGCAGACCTTAAATGATTTATAACTACCAGCATATTACACGGAGCTTCACCCGACAGTGAATTGACGATTCAATTATTATTTGTTTTTCATCACATGCTTTTTTTAGAAGCTGATGGCCCCTGCCGGCAATGGGTTGTCTTTTAAGCGATTGCTTTCATTGGAGATCGAACGGGCAACTGGTCGAAAATCGAGTGATAATTCATCCAGTGTACGTGCAATGGCTATTCAGACACCCCGTGGTACATTGGCAGTACCTATAACTTCAGCAGCCAGCGCCACATCTTCTACTAAGGGTACTAGCCGGCCTACGTCAGGAGGAGACCTTGCTGATCTTCGAGTACTAGCGGATATTGCCACACAACGGTCTTCTTTGGGGCCCGGTATTAAGGTAAGGTATAATATCATAGATAGAAATATAAGACACACTTGTAAGTATTGTTAATCGGGTATTTCCTTTAGTGTTTTTACATTTTTTAGAAGTTTCAATTTTTTTTAGCTATGGGTTGCACATGTTCTAACTTACCCTGTTCGTTTCGGTACCATGTCACCAGGTCGAGGCCTCGGAAGCATCTGATAACGTTTCAAAAGATCCAACAGCCTCTACAGAAAATGGTTTTTCACGTATCCATGGAATCGCAAGTGCAGTCCTTGAAGCTCGACTGAACCCAGACCAGCGCCGGCCTTTATATCGTTTGCCCGTTTCAGCAAATCGGCTTGAGTCGCTGGCCCCTCGTGTTGGCCAAAAGTCAGAAGGACGACGCATGTACACTGCACCCCACGAGTGGCTTTGTAACGGGAAACTGTTGCTATTGCTTGAAGCGACCCATCCACAAAACCTTGAGCTATTTCAAGAACAGTGGAATCGGGGACAACCTGTTGTCGTTGCTCACGTATCCGAAGTATTAGATATGAACCTCTGGCGACCGGATGCGTTCCTACGGGATTTTGGCGAACAGAAATCGACCTTGGTCGACTGTAAAACGGGCGCAGACCTTGGCAAGCCAATACCAATGAAACGCTTCTGGGAGGGTTTTGAGTGTTTCGCAAAACGCATGTGTGATAAGAACGGGGATCATATGTTACTAAAGCTTAAGGACTGGCCACCAGATGAAAATTTCAGCGAAGTGCTGCCCACACGATATCGGGACCTTATGGGAGCCCTTCCGTTACCGATGTATACGTTACGGGAAGGAAGCCTTAACCTGGCTAATCGATTGCCGGATTGCTTTGTACCACCTGACCTTGGACCCAAGATGTATAACGCTTACGGATCCGCTCTCTTTCCAACAAAAGGTACACATTTATACTTTCGTTTGTAGCAACTTAATTTTTTAAATAGAATTATTAACATTTCAGCAGCAAAATTTAGAGAAAGAATGGGGAAAACTTTTGTTGCAGACTTTTTTCTTTTTCGGGAATTAGAATATATAGTACATCATTTATGTACTCCTAGGTTAGAGTTAGAAGTAGCTCCTAGTGTTAAATAGAGCTGTATTTTGTTACCAGGTTGTGAGATAAAACACCTCCTTGTTCTTTCTACCTTTGTCTGTGCATTAAAGGGACGACGAATTTGCATTTGGACATGAGTGACGCAGCCAATGTGATGGTGTATGTCGGCATTCCCCGTGATGGGAACTGCCAGCGACACATCGAGGAAGCGTTACGAGCTGTGGAAGAAGCGGGATGCGACGCGACGCAGATGAAGCGCGTTCGGGAGAAGGGCGCGAAGGTGGGGGCGGTCTGGCATATTTTCCACGCCCAGGACGCTGACAAGATTCGAGAATTATTGAAACAAGTCACGGTAAGAAAACAACTGAGTATACACGACATAGCGCTAACACGATCTTGGCAGCACAAGCCACTAGTACTGCTTATATACTTCAGTATTGAAAAAAGAATTAACTTTCAGGACCCAGCCAAACGGGTATAATCTCTTGAACTGCATTTGAGAAAAATAATGAATATTTTTGGTCTATTGTTTTGTGACGATCATAACCGAATTACAGGTGGAGCGAGGTCAACGCCTTGAAGCGAATTCCGATCCAATCCATGATCAATTGTGGTACCTAGATTGTGAGTTACGACGTCGCTTGTTGCTGGAGAAGGGCGTACGGGGATACGCGATAGCACAGTGTGTAGGAGATGCCGTATTCATTCCAGCAGGAGCGCCCCACCAAGTGCGCAACCTCCACTCGTGTATAAAAGTCGCCGAAGATTTCGTTTCGCCGGAGAACCTAGCTCATTGCCTTCGACTGACCAACGAATTCCGGTTCCTTTCGGATACTCATACAAATCACGAGGACAAGCTGCAGGTTACTATGCTATTTTATTATTTAGTTAGACACAGTGCTTAATAATGATATTATAATACACAAAAGAATGCGCACGAGTGCGGCTCTATTCCTTTCTGTCAATTTCCGCACTGTTGTTCGTACATAAAAGGCTCTACAGATTTATGGATTTATGATGATAATCTAGAGACAGCAGTGTTGAATTAGAAGTAGTGAATCACAAATACATGAATAACGTTTATGACATTTCTGTACTTATTTTTAATTTTTCTTGCAGATTAAGAATGTTGTGTATCATGCAGTGAAGGACGCTGTATCAGTTCTCGACGAGGGCGACAGGCCGCGTGCCGAGGGCTGCTGAATGCTGAACCATAGAAACGGGGCCATGCGCCTACAAACAAACCTACAGACATCGTTAATATATGTTTAATAATACCTAGTATTCACATAACACACACGCAAAATGTGAGAACATTAAAAGCGACAGAAAAAAGGTTAGAAAGATAATCAATCAGGAACTAATTTTTGCTTTATTTTTTGGAACAAGATGTTGCAACAGCATTTCTTACCGGCGCACAATATAATACACAAATCATTACCGACTCGCTTGAGCGCTCACAAACACGGATACATTCAGACAAGTAAAAAAAAAACCACGTTGAAAGATGACGACTGAAGAAAACTCTCAACAAAAAATCACACAAAGGGTCATAAGGGTATGTTTTCAGGAGACTTTTGCTGGTGAAATAGAGAAGTTTGGTAGACTGAAAAAATAATTATAATTTGTATGTAGCGCATCGCAAATGTGCTCTTGTGAATTTTTACAAAGCGGATCCTCAGGAACCTGACAGGATGAATAACTGATTAACGAAAAAAAGTGAACCAACTTATTATATGTTAGTAATTATTAAAACGAGAAGCCAGTTATTATTTTGTTTCGCCTTTAATTATTATTTTCTCCTTGTATTATAAAAAAAAAAAGAAACGGTGGCGAAACGAAAGTGTATTGCCACCTTTGTACATAAAACTATATATGATGTAAAACACCCTAATATTAGAAAGGATACCTGTGAAGGAAAGTGCAACGGAAGCAATTATTTAGTGGAACGGGCTTGGATGGGTTAGTGGGGAAAACATGTGTACGTTGTGGACTTTCTGCTATATTCCATGATGATCACAGCAACCAAGAGTAAAACAATTTATGTAGGTAAGTCATAAAAAAAAAATGTCATAAAATAGTCAGATTAAGAAAGACATGATGTTGTATAGGAAAAAAACCGGTTAGGCTAGTTCCGCTTAAATGCAATAATTTCTATTGCCTAGTAATTTATCGTTTTACGCTGCCACAGTTTTTCTGTGCTTAAAAACTGGCTTTCCGCCGAAGTACTCATTCCAGTTCTGTTATCCTTAAACGTTTGTGGCTGTCCGAAATATTGCTGTTGTAACCTGCTTTTGCTGTTCTATTCAAGGTCTACTAAATTTAATTGATTGAAGAATAAGCAGAGCGCTTACTCTGGTTGTTAGATGCTCGCTCTCTGCTTCAATTTATCTTTATCATGTTTCTCAACTTGTGTACGCCTTTCATCAACTTTTGAAGGATGATGAGCTTAACTTACCGACTGCTGCCAGAAGCAACTGTATTTTAATTAGTTAACGTACCCGGCTAAGCACCTTTGTTGGCCGAGAAATGTACCACGCGTATTGGGTTAGTATACAAGCAAAAGACGGCTGAATCAAATAAACAAACAAACAACAGATCTACATAAATCAATACACACGCACACAAATTCTTTCTTTTTTACGTGTTGCATTTGACATGTACGTAATAAACAATTGTGGCTATTATCATTGTCGACCCATGGTGGCATAAACCGGCTGAAAGTCGTTCCCTCTGCGCGCGCTGCCTGTAGCCCTGGTGAGAACGGCCCTTGGGATTGCATACGCTCACCACATGCGACCACCAGACTGGTGCTAGCTTGCTACAGATGTGAAAGTTATGAGACGCCCATCACCACTGGATTGGTGACTAACCTAGTAATGGCTGCGAGATCGGTGGAGCAGTTAGCGTCACGCACTCATCATCATTATCATCATCAGTGGTTCGTGTGGTGTCTGTATAAATTCTCAGATGGCCACCACAGATTTTTCGAAGGTGTAGACCTACAGTGCCAAGCACAAGCAGCGAAATCGAAATAAAGCATCAGCCTGACGACTTCCAGAAGGATCAATTTCCAACGGTACTGACAATAACACGATGACAAATTTACCTTTTTGTTGAGATTATCGAAAAAGAGTTGAAGCAAGAAGAAAGCAAGCCACATTACCAAACTGGTTATTATCGATATATATCACGTAAACCTAGAACTGATAATTAAAGTGCAGATACTAGAAGTCAATTACTGATGCTTTTATGTACTGGAACATTCAAGTTATATTATCACTGCATTATTATTATTACTATTATTGTATTTCCTTCTTATCTCTCATAATCATGATTCCGATATTGTCGATTAGATAGTTCCTGTCAAATAGTGAGTTGCTCCAAGCTATCAGTCGTTTCGTTTGTGTGACAATTCGTCAAAACATTACTGTTTACCTTTGCTTATTCCCAGCAGTTGTTACAACCGCTAATTTCGTCTGTAGCACTCCCTTGAAGCGTTTGAATTATTGACCGGCCCGCCGTATGGCACCAATCTTATCCAAACTACCAAATAAATGAATCAACTCCGCCTTGGTACGATTAAATTACACCTTTGTTGTCTCTAACGTTAAGTGGGTGGCGGCAATGCGGAAGTTCATGGATGTAACAGAACTTACGGAAAAACCAGCGATGTTGACCAGGTCAGTGAGCATCGAAAAGTGTGTTTTGGAACTTTCCTTTGGGAGTACATCCATCCAGCATTACTTTTTCTCAGGGAAACGCATGACGATAAAAAAAAATTGGCGTTGATACTTCAAACAGACATGCTCGCCCAGAAACATATAGGCATACTAGCGCAGTGCGAGAATGAAAAGGCGACGGGGTCGGAGAAATATTACTGGTTAAATGTTGCAATAAGTGTCCGTAAAAAAAAAGTTTTATGAAGAAACTGTGAATGGGACGTGCAAATGCAAAAGAACAATATGCTGGTTTATTACCGTGGACTAGCACGAGTAAGTCTACTGTATTGCATCAATAAAAGAATCGAAAACTTATTACTTGTCAAGTTGCGTAATTACCTTCGTATCTTGAGTCCACTCGCCCTGAGTGTACGCTAATTGGCGGTTGAATACGTAAGGTGATGATCTAAGCAAGTGTCGGCAAGATGGAAGAGTTCTATGAATGTACCGAACTTTTCATGCGATAAGCGATATTGAGAGGCAATAGAGTCTTATAAGGACGGGAATAGTTTTGGAAAAGCAGAATTATTACAACATTGACAATATCAGCTTACATCAGAGAAAAGGTAACGCATGGGCTATCATGTGAAAAAAAACATACGTAGAAGAGGATACTGATTAACAACAATACTAGTAATAATCGTGATAGTAATGAAAAGTAGGCACAAATATAGGAATATGATGTTGCTTAATATTATGAATATGATGAATATATATATATACAATCAGGGAAAAAACCAAGAATATCCACAGTTGATCGCTATCACGTAAAGCCATCGCCCTTAGTCGAAAACTATTTAGTTATTTTTACTTTGGATTAATATTTTGTATAAACCTTTCATGTCTCGATTCTGTACATAGTGGAGACCTATCTTCATTTAAACAGTATATTTGCACAGCTGGTGTTCAATAGTCTTCACAGGTATGCTATTAAAAATAAAGGAAAATAAAGCTGAAACATTTCTAAAGTATGTCATTGGCTGCTTTCGTTTTAATGTTCCGTAGATCAAAGCAATAGTGTCCTAATCATCTTGAGCCTATTGCATGATCCTGACGGATATTATCATAGAATTAAAGGTATATGATCTATAAAATTGCACTAATTTACTGCACATACAATATCCTTGTCGCATTTATAAGCCATGAAATGTCGGGAATATTAATGGGGTTCTGACAATGGTACTGCTTGCAAGGCAATGATCTGCTAATTTTCGTCTATCCAAACCGCTTAACATTTAGAGATTCAAAAGGACTCTTTCCTTCTTATTAATCAGTCTTCCGTAGGATAAGCATACGTATACCGTAAAGCTTCAGTAAGGTGCCTAGTGATAATCTGTTGCATCAAAGTGTAATAATCTGCCACATTCTTAAGCCTAAACTGCTGTGTTCGTATACTAATCATAACAAAAGTTTAAACTGTGTGGTGTGAGTAATCCGTAATAGCGCTAGATATTATTTCGCGCATAAATATAATGCGGCAAGAATTTCTATTAGGTTCATGTTACCTAGAGATCTATAATATGTTGTAGTGGAAACACTTGCTTTTTGACGCTGTATTAATGTAACTGGGGTTCCGAACAACAGAAGGGTTATTCATATAAGAGGATCGCCTATTCGAGTCTTCTAAATGTCTAAAAGCTTAATAATTTCATGGGTTTTCAATTGATTGTTGCTGGAAAGTTTATTTCTAATAAGCTTTCTTACACGCTTTTCTAAGGCTGGTTGAATGAGAATTTAGCCTTGATTTGTATCCAATCAATCGTGAAACACTTCAAAAGATCAACTCTGATCCAAAACATCTAGAAGGACCCTAACAACATAAGTAGAAAGTTAAAAAATCATTCTGACAAATGATTTTTAGGGCATGTAGTACATACCACGTGGAAGAGGTGTATTCAAATGGAAATTAATAATAAATAGCAGTTCAGGAAGGTAACGCAAGTTTATATGTTTAAACCAAATTACACGGTGTATATACTCTTCTAAATCAATTAATGATGACCATTAATACCTGTATACGTTTTTACGAAATAGGTCAAAGAGCATCTATTAAAAGAATGCGAACGTGTGATCTACTTTACTACTTCATTGTATTCGATTAATTTATTATACACCAGATCATTTTTTCGATTGTTCATAGAGACTTCCTTATGTAACTAAAACAATTGATTCAATAAGCTTACTGCATATATTTCTAAACATTCTGATCCGTTCAGCCCCGTTGCTGACGGCATCAAGCGTGGAACACTCATTATTTTAGATTGTGACTCGTAGTCCTACCTTTTCCATATTAACAGACAAAATTTCCGCATTAAGGAGTACTGAAAAGTAACAGGACTAAATCGTATAATCATTTTAGTAAGCTGAAAAAGTATTATTAAAGGCTTCATTACTCTAGTGGCATCGCAGGCATTTTTATAATGGCGATAGCAAATTAACGCCACTTCGCGTTCAAAGACAGCCTTGAAGTGTGTCATTAGCCAAATAACCGTCCTAAAAAATACAGATCAGTTAGACTCCGTAAGTTGATTAAAGGCTTATAAAAAAGATTTGCAAATTATTGATAATTCCATTGATGGAAACAACGGAAAAAGAAACCCTATCAGCAGTGCGGCAAGTGACAACAAGATAACTCCGGGCGATACTTGTTTCGCAAAGTGCTTAATCAGTTATTAAATATTCCTTCAGTTATCCTGCGTGTGACTCTTCGACAGTGGAAGTTGTTAGGACTCATATTGATATATCATATCATAGGGCTCATATAGATTTATCACATTAAGCGTGACACCTCGGTGCTAAGCTTTTTTGTTGGCAGATTTTGCAGCTACGGGCATAGTCACAAGCTAAGGCTCGACTTACTCCAAAAAATACCACACGATCAAGTGATAAGCGAGTTTCTTTGAGCTCGGATATCCCCCATGACAGACCTAAACTGCCGAAATCTTTTAATGTATCTCATAGTACATCACTGGCGCCCACTTCGCTGTTTTACCATATCTCGCTGCACGCCTCGTCAACTCATCATTGACGACAGAAAAACATTCTGTTGCTCGTCCAGCCGGGAACTTGCATTATATCAGTTTATGAGGCATTGTATTATATACTTTGTTCTTCATAATACATACGTATTTTACACCAATTTTAGTTCTCTAAAAATGTGGGATAAAATATGTCCATAATGTCCATCTAATTGATTTCCCACGGAATTATTAAATAAACCCAAAGCTATTATTATGAACGATTGTTCCGCATTTTATAACATTTTATTATCGCTGCTACATCTAATCTTTTATTATGCTAATTATAAAACTAGCTACTCTTCCATCGCACATTTGCAAAAGGGCATATTTGGCCTAAAGACAGAGATTTGAATTATATTTTTGAAAACTATTCACGTGATTTCAGCTCAAGGTCGGTTAAATATTATGCGATGCAGTTCCATCGGTTTCAACAGTTCTCTCCGCTGTCATCGACGTGCGATTAGAGTAGAAGGTAAATTCGGTGCATTCTATCGTGCAGTTGTGCCTAGCTTATCACCCTGCTGCTATTGTTACCATTACTGATCATGTGCATTCTGGTTATCATTGTTGGCCTGTATATATAACTAGCTAGAAGCATCTGTGCTTACATTGATCTAACTAGAGAAAATCATATCGTGACTTGAATGAAACATCACATTGTGTACCCAGTGTTATGAGTAACGATATGATGTACTGATTCAACGTGTGCTTACATCATAAACGCCTCCCTTAAGAATGAATTGTTTAAGAGTATTTTTCGTAAAAAGCCTGCGATTGTTTGTCAGTTAAAGCATATAAAGCAAGCAAAAGCATATAAAAAATAACAAACTAAGTACTCAGAAGGAGCCCACAGATTGGGAAGTGAATTACAAGTTGCAGCCTTACGTGTGAAGTGAAGGCGATTACGTGCTATCGCTCTTATATTGAAAAGCTAAAGGTTTATAGCAAGGTTTATCATGTGTAATTGTAAATATTGAATCCTGGTCAATTAGCCTGCGTTCGAGTTTTAAGCAAAAACTCGTACAGAATAGGAAAGGTGGCATAAATCTACGAGTTTCTTTCGTTTTAAATGAGTATTGATTAAAAACGTGTGTAGAGTAAGAAAGAATGTTAAGGGGAAACATGTAAATATATATATGTATATAGAAGCATTCAAATTCGGACGGGTTTTAGCGGGCGGTTTTTCGCAGCGGGAGTGAGTTAATTTGCTATTCTCGTTATCAAAAAAAGCTTGTTCTTTCTAGAACAATACACCAAATATATGGTAAGAAAAAGCAAGGCATAGCTTTTAGAATGTGAGCAATGATCAGCTTTATCTAATTTATTCGCACTAGAGGACCCTTCCATTAAAAATTAACATGAATCGCTTAAAGTCGATTATGTACATTATTATCTGTTGCCATGAAGCTTCTGAAGGAGTGCGAAAAGGATTTCCATAAAGCAAACTGAAATTTTCTAAATAGAAATTAGATTTAAAAGACTGGAAACTTATTAAGATGGTTTAAAAAGCCGTTTTTCATGTACCTGGAGTTTTTATACAGAAATTAACGGCCGTTTTAGGAAACAGAGTATTTATCACTAAAGTCGTCCAGCTGAGTTCTAACGATTGATTTTTTTAGATTTGAAGGGAAATTTTCAGTTTGATTGACGCTCTGCCGCGCAAACGATTTAGACAATAGCCGATTCTACTAAAAAAAAAAAAAGTAAAACAGTACTTATTGAAAACATATACATTTTCAAAATAGTGGAACTTACATAATTTTAATAGCGCTCGGCTCAGGCGATTTTCGGATTTGTACAATGAACGCTTCTTGTCAGATGACTCTTTACCTGTTATTACCTGGGCGAAATTTACATTAATTGATCCTACAGGAATGTTTAAATATAAGCATCATCATCTCAAATCCGTCATGGCATTCAGAATAGCCAGTCGGGACATCAACGCGGCTAAGAAGTTTCTAGCAGACAGCAAGCCAGTTCCGTCGTTGGCCACCCTCGCCATTCCTGCGACAGAGTACCATATTTCTCTCTATCCGAATGCCCTCGCTCACTATACAGACGACACATAGCGACTAGGGCGAAGACGACGCTTTTATGGCGTTCAGTTAAACAGTGCAGCTACTGCAGTGGCAGCCGTAGAAGTAAGCAACGACCGTATTATTGTTGGACGGTCGACGCTGGTCTTTTGCGCCTGCGTTTCACTCGTTCGTCGTGGATTGACTCTTCGTTAGTTTATAATTGACTTATTTGGCTTTGTTTGCCTGGCTGGTCTCGTTTGTAGCGGAATCACCGTTGCTGGGGCGGCGCCACCAGCGCCTGTTTGGAGTGGCTTTGGTATTGGTGCTGTGTATTAGTGTGGTGTACGTTGTGCCTCGGTCCACTGGTGTTTTCATTTTCAACAACAAGATCTGCGTCCGTGGCCAGAAAACCCGGGTTCGATCTTATTGACTGTCGCATTACGGCGAATGATTGGATTTTTTGCAGTTTTCCCAGTTTGCCTTAGGCCCGGTCTATTACTATTATTCTGTGTATTTGTGGACTGATTAGAGTAGCAGCCGACTAACAAACCGCACAATGAGCGATAGGGAGGTGAGTAGATTGGATGAAATATTTCTAAACGCATGCTTCTCACCACAACGTATTTGCATTGTAGGATTCAAATGCGTGGCTCCTATTATTATACACCATGCTTTAGCTAGATTGCGTCCCTGTTGTTGCTTTGTAGCGATGATAGTGGTGGCTGTCGGCCGCCACCAAAGCCGTGCTCTGCCTAGCCGCTTAGCAAAAATTAAACGAGTTCGTACGGAAAAATAGGAAAAACTCAGATGACGCAAAACACTTAAAACACATAGTCATAGACGGAGAATCATGCGCATTCGAACTAGAGTAGTAAGGCCAGTTAGGCTGGTGCCTCAATGGACCTAGGCTTAACATCTAAGAGGCATATATTTGTGTACGCGAGGCTTCAAGTATGAAAAAAACGTGGTAGCGACCACGTTACGTTCAATGCGCCAGCACATGGTTCATCATTATAGAAATAAAACAGGGATATGGTGGCCGGCCAAAATCTACATTACCGGTGTCTTCGTTTTATGTTGCTTTTCTTCGCGAATTAAGTAACAATATGCAATATTGTTAACTTCCGCAGCATATAATACTGCGGAAGTTGGCCACTGTAGGATATTACAGCGTTCCTGCGACATGCCATCGGTAAACAAAAACAACCAGAACTGTTGAAGACGAAGGAGGTTTGTCTCGGTCGGTTTGTGTACACATTTCAGCTTATATGAAATACTCGTAGCGGACCACCAAATTCACGGACTTGGCTGGATTTGCATTGCGCGCAATGTACACGACTGTATCATTATTACGATTATCATCATGCCTAGCATCTTACGATCTATGATGTATAATATTGCGTTGCGGCCTTGCGTCTTCGCGAACAATGGAACGTCACGTTATAATAACAGAAAGAAGCAACATCATATATATATATATATATATATACATAATATATATATATTTCCATCATCTAAAATCTAATGAAAAAAATCAAAAAATGGGTGCGCCCTGAGAACAGCCTAGCTAGTAGATGACACTCGCTGTCTAGCGTTAATTATGTATTCGAAGGCCATTTTAGACGACGACAGGGGCCACCTGTATCGGTAAATTAAATATCGGTAGAGCACAGAGCTTCGAACTGACGGATTATTTTTTTGCTGCTGTGTCTCATTATAAAGATGAGAACGAAAATCAGTCAAAATTCATTTTCCCGCGATGCCTATTACTGTTTACGTTGTGCAGATAGTAAACTTTTTCCTGAATTATTTCCTTGTTAGTCTTCTCGATCTGCTTGCTGTGTTGGGTAATGGATTGGTTTCCGTTTTTTGCAGCTGCGGGGAGCTAATACCTGCTAAACAAATAGTACAGTTAATTGTCACATGTGCATACATTACAGCTCTGTTTCTGAACTAACTCTTTTTGATCCGGGTACACCGAAAACTTAGCAGGGCCTTAAGCTATAGAACATATGCTTCAGATCTATAATCGATTCAGGTAGAAGGAAATATTATCTTGAAATTGTTTAAAAAATTTACCTTATTGTGGTAAATAACATTACGAAACAAATACTGCTATGAAGGTGAGAAGACATAAACAGAATGTCAGATGTTAGTTAGCTAGATAGCTACAATCATACTTATCAAAAAGTTTTGATCAGGTTGTCGCTAAGTAATATTTTCTTTCAGTCTTTCTTATTTTGTCGCAAAATGACCGCGAGGCTTTTTATTGCTCTTTACTCTATAATGATAGTACTAGTAATGTTTTTGCAATTTTGTCGCAGGGCTATTCTGACATCGGCATTTATTTAGAACTATCTTTGTATTATTTGAATTAATTCTTATTATTAAAATTATTTTTGATAACGTTGAAGAACAATATCGTCCGTTAATAATTATCTTATATTGTTGTTTCCTTCTGAAAAAAATTACAGATATCGCCGCGGGACGTCTACGTTCGTGGTGACTCAAGGTCGCGATCGCGGTCTTTGCGTTCAGATCGCGACGAACGCGATGATCGTCGCAGTCGATCGAGAAGTCGTAGCCGTGACCACAGAAGGGATCACCGACGGGAACACAGGGACGACCGGGACTACGGCCGAACGTCAGAACGTGGGAGATCCCGAAGCAGGTCCCCCATGAGCAGCAGGTACGCCCCCGTATTCTACGCGTCGATCTGGGAAACGGCTTACACCCAGCCTGAACGGCTGCTACGTTTCTCAGTCCGGCTTGGAGGTGGTCGTTTGAAGTTCGGCTCTTGAAGCGCTAGAAGTTTGAAGTTGAAGTCTTTGAAGCGGCTGAGGTGGACAGCCTACTGTCGCAGGGCCAACTTCGTCCAGAGGACCGACACCGGAATGAGAGAGAAGATGATAGGTTGTTAAAGTTGAACATTTCGTCTCTCGCGAAAAGGGATGAAGTCAGTCTTCTTAAATCCATCTTATCTCAGGGTTTAGCAGGCCAGTCCGCAATACTCATTTTGAAGCCGAAGCTGTTTGAAGTTCTGTCGATTATGCTGGCTGAGTGGCGATTTAACCTCCGTTTGCAAGATCTGAAAACTGCATCTCTACTTCTCTATCTATGTGAAAGAAATCTGATGTTTTGCAAGATATGCTTGGCAGGGCAACGAAGTCAGCTTGAGAGTCCAATACAGTCACCTTCAATGGGTAGCCAGGGAGAGAAGTGAATTTCGTTTAGACAAGATTCACACTTCCAGATAGAAATTTAAGTAGAAGATGACAATAGTCTGATTGCTTAACTGACTTAGCTGCATATAGAAACTGAACAGGTGTTATTATATGTGTGTTGGTCTGAAGCGCTCGCATGATACGAGAGTTATAAATGTATCTGTCAATCAATAGAGAGAAGTTTGCCAGTGACCAACGGTCGAAGAGCGAAGAGTATGAACACACAGCGTGCCGAAGTTTTCTCTAGTGTTTTGCTTGTAGATGAAGAAATCAAAAGCGATTCTGGTTTTAGCGAAGACCAACTTTCAGCAGGTTGTAGAAGTGTGTATCCTTGACGAAGATATTAGCACATACGAAGAACAAATTTGAAGTCGAAGTACATCTCATCTGCTCTGCATGGATGGGTGACATACAGTGAAGCCACACAAGAAACAGACAAAACTGAAACACATGAAGGCTCGCAACGATCAATGAAGACCGAAGGCTTTGCGAAGTTCAATATAGAAAAATGCTACTAGGATGTTACACTCAAGCGGAGCTGGATCAGACAGAATTCTTTGGCTGTGAAGAATAGCTGGATGCTGGCGAACGTACGTTTGATACGGTACTGTGCCTCCTCCGTCAGAGTCTATTAATTATACCATTAATTCATATCTCTGTGTTCGGATCGATCAGTAGTAAGCAGAGCGCCCGTTTCAGTCTAAATGTTTCAGTTAGTATCAGATTTCAGTCAGTGTCAAAATAGCTTGCTTCTATTGTCGCTTTGTCCTGGTAATTCGTAATAGCTTCTTTCGAATCACTCTATTATCCTCTAACCAAAGTACGCTCGCTCGCTGCGGACGCTGTTGTTAACCCCTAAACCATGATAATTTGCTAGACTCTTCTGATAACCAAAGAATCTGCTTACATATACTAACAGCGGTATCGAATGGAAGTCCTCGTCCTGAACAAGTTCACGATATGGTTGATCGGTTGGAAGTAAGACAACACATGGATTTTGGTACCAAGTGTTCTACGTATTGCAAGAGAAAGACTACGCGAATGTAACTAAAATCTAATACAAAAATTTTTCCTCTGTTTCGTCTCCATGCGAACGCACATTTCTTCGTCTGGTTGATGCTGTGTTTCGGTGATCCTCGTCCGGGTCGTCTACAGGAAGCGACACGTAGGTGACCGTGATCGCCCAGAACCTTCCCGCTGTATCGGTGTTTTTGGTCTGTCGATATACACCAATGAGCGTGAACTGCGCGACTTCTTTTCCAAATATGGTCGGGTGCAGGATGTCCAGGTTGTGTACGATGCTCAGACAGGCCGTTCGAGAGGATTTGGGTTCGTCTACTACGAAAGCGAGGATGATGCTAACGAAGCCAAAGAAAAGGCCAATGGTAAGCAAATCTAAAAGGTATATTTGTAGATCGTATGTAGTCCTAAAGATGGGTTTGGTACCTTTTGTGCATGTATCATTGAAACATGAACAACTGTTTACATTGAATCGTATTCCAAGCTCGCTGACGTTTTGGAATGATCAAATTACATTTAGGACATTAATATGACCGATTTAATTTGTGATGCGGATAACATAGCACTTGTGTTTATGAACTGACAAGAGAAACTGAAGTGTAGACGTGCGCTCAATGTTGTACATCTTGAAACAATTCATATCTGCATCCGATGCGTCATGTATCCAGCAGACAAAAATATGACGTGTTTCGCCACAATCTGTTTGAAAAATGTTGGTAATATGCTAGGTAAAGCTTGTGAGTTCCTTTTAGCGAAATTATTGTAGAATAAACGACGCCAATTCTAACTAATGGTTACTTGATGCGTATATTGCATGTTATATAATGCAGTATGTGAGGCCAGAAGTAGCTGATGTAAGCTTAGAGCACACGACATATCTGTTTGAAATAAGTGTGTCCTTAACTTGAGAATGTGTTTACAAACATCTGCATTATTGTTCACTGGGCTGTCGCTTCAGGTCTGGAAATCGACGGTCGCAAGATCCGAGTGGACTTCTCAATTACGAAACGAGCGCATACTCCAACGCCAGGGGTGTACATGGGGCGGCCGACACGCAGACCGAAGAGAAGCTCAGGAGGCGGTGGTGGCGGCGGTGGCTATTACGGTGGTGGCGGCGGTGGAGGCGGAGGTGGTGGTCGCGATCATAGAGGAAGTGGGCGTCGACACTACACAAGGTCGCCCTCTCCATACCGCGGTCGTGGGGGCGGTCGTGACCGGTATCGGGAACGTGAGAGGTCTTACTCGCCTAGGAGGTACTATTAACGTTCCGAATGGAGGAGGAGAACCGAGTACCGCGCCAGTACTTTGATCTGAGAGTGAACAACTCATATATGGATATTAGACTATTTGTGGAGTACGAGCGACCACCACCGTGTTTCAGCCGTAGCTGGAAGGCTGGAAAAAAGCCAAAATGGGCCAAATAAAAGATGCACTCCACAAGAGCTTATATTGGCCTAAATTATTGATCTAGAGTGTCGGACTGAAAAAGTAAAACGCGGGTACAGTAAAATGGACTGTATGGGCATCGGGACAATGGATTGGACAAGGTCGTCATATCATGCTTGTGTAGTTTGTGAGCGATGAAAGGAGTAACAATTTGAACAATAATGACATAGAGCCATGGTGCGAGGACGATCACGCCATAGCATTGAGAAAGACATTGACGCTTGTAAAGAAGCGGGCATTACACTAGATACTTGGTTGCGTTACGCGCGGTGTGACTAGCAGTTTAAGAAGGTACAATAATCATAATAATGATAATAATATGGGTAAATTTGTGAATATTGAACTGCTCAGACTTTTGTTTCGTTTGAGGGAAAGCAAGAAGCGAGCGGGCAAGGGAATAACGTCTGACAAATGCCAGAACGAAGCTACGTTAATTTCTGCGCAATGTCTAGCAAAAGCGACGCATACTCTGCATAAAAACACGAGCTCGAAAATTATGTTGACAACCCTCATGAAGGCCTACGAGCCAACTCACAATGGGCTCATGGAGCATTACAGTCATTTGCGTGTTACGATGATGGATTATGCCTAAGAAAAGGTATTTCACTGCATGAAGTAGAGGGCGCACGTTTGCAAGAGCTTGCTGCGACCTAGATCACGAATAAAAAACTTAAATTTCAAATGTATATGTACGATAAGCGACGCCTCGCTATTACACGATAACGATGTGAAATTAAACTCTTTTTTATTATTAGAAATTAATTTTCATAGTTGGAATAGGTAATGCATGATAAAATTAATGATGCAAGCCGGCCACTTGACGAAATCGCAGGGAAAATCGAACTGCTGGCCAAATAGTCCAAAGAAAATCGAACTGCTGGTCAAATAGTCTGGAATAACAATACCTCAACAGGTCTTGATTTAGAAATAAGATAGTCTTATTACAATTAGTATAAAGATAAATACTAGATATTTGCCCAATAGGATTGACCTTTCAAATAAAATGGCCTTTTCATCGTCCGTATCATTATTTGGAAGAAGGTATTGGATTCTTACGAATGCTTTTTCTTGCGTCAGGTTTTGCAAGTAATTCAAGATTTAAATGAAGATGCGTCATTGTTGAAGATGTAGAATCGAATATGAAGAACGAAAATTGAAGAGGCTATTTGATGCGACATCTATCTTGAAGTTGAAGCTTATCTGCGGAGCTAGTGTGATCGGTTTCTGAGCATCGATGTATATTTTACGAAGTTTGATGAAACTAAGCAGGAAAGCGTCCTTTAACGAAGATATAGCGAAGCTTCTTTTTGTGTCCTGAGATTTATCTGTCCTCTGTGAAGAGTTTCGACTTTCTGCGTAAAGAGAGAGTGAAAACAATGCTGAACGAAATCAATTTTGCCATCGTAGTGAGCTACAATTCATGTGAAATATCTAACCTAGAAGACAGAAAAATTATAGAAGTTCAAGTGTCCGTCAAACATTCTGGTAAGTCACTTATGCTTTTGTAGGCTACGAGTTTTCGCGAATGTTAACGTAGATACGGAAACGAAAAACAAACACAATAACAAGCAAAAATTTGCCTGTTCAAAAAAAGAGTAAAAATCTAACACACAGATAATCTAAGGCGATGATATAAGTGGATGAACTTCAGCTACGTCTATATAATAACACAGAAGAATGGAATGTCATGTACAACCACAAATATTAATGAATAAAGAAACACGAAAGGAGGTGACGCCTAATTACGCGTCTCATTTACAACTTTTAGATAAGTAAGCGAAATATAAACATGCCATTTTAAACATTGAAACCAATATATTAGTGTGCGCATTATTTAAAAAACTAGCATATAAGCGCTGGTTTCGAAAATGCTAATACGGAGCAGTTGTATTCTACTTGGGCTTCTTAACAGTTATACAGTTTGGGTGGCAGTTGAATTACTTAGAGAGCTTGTGCCAATGAATGATGGTTATATTAAATTTTGAACCTTACTTTCTTAGCATATATGAGAACGGGTTTATAGTCAAACGAGACGATAATGGCCTTAAAATTTTTCTATTCAGTTGTAATTAACACTCGCTCCTTTGAAGGTAATGAATGAAGAATGGCTACACGTATTTCCTTTATTCAATTACAACTTCCTATTGTTGTTTTATAACAGCTTTGACTATCTTTTTAGACCTGCAGCTATACAAATCAGAAGACCGCAGAAAACACGGGATCGCTAATGAAAGTACCTTATGGTGCTATATAAACTAATATATTAAAGATAGCATAATATGTGTAGAAAGATATCGGAACTGATTAAACAAGCGGCTCATCCTTAATCGTCTCAGGTCAGACTAGGTAACTTCAAAGTGAGTATGAAGTACAGCACTATTGCCATCAGAAGCCTTAACGTGCAATTGCGAATTTTTTTTTCAATCAATTACATTTCTAAATTGACAGAAAAGGTTTCATTTCATCAAGAAAGTGAGTAGTCAATTCGATATTTAACTGATGAATAAATAGCGGTATCAATGGCTGAATTTTCTTTGCAGATTATGTTATGTTATTAATCACTGAATAAAAGGTAATAACAAAAAAATACAGTTACGTGAGATTAGACTAAATTTGAATGATTGATGTTAACGCCGTGACCGTTATCTAAATGCAAAAAAAGCTACAGAAACCCTAAGGTGGGCTCGAAGGCGTTCAAATGAAGCTGGCAAAAGGCAGCGATATTTACTTATCGAAAATGATGGTCTTCTGAGATTTTGATATTCTCTTCGATGGCTGTTACTTTAAGCTGGACACGAGCTCCCCAAAATGATCCTTTCAGATATCTGAGTTTGCTTTTGTTAACGACAAAATATCACCAGAGTCTCTATAAAGACGACAGTGTTTGCAAACCATCTTCATCGGATTCATGAGGTTAACCAAGTTCAGTGAAGACCCTAGCTAACAATGAATCCGACGCGAAATACTACGACAGCTATCCTGTTACCGATTTCACAACTGATTGACAGCCACCGTGGATACTTTGATCCTGTATCGGCGGTGGCCGAGGTGAATTGGGAAAGACGGTGAGCTAGCAAAGGAGCTTAAGAAGGTTGTGCAGGATTCCCAAGTGGAGGTAGCGCACGATAACGACCAGGTGTCGAAAATAAGTGAAAAGTATTTGAGCAGTGCCCGGACTGCTCAGCATCGAACAGCAAAAATGGCAACGTTGAAGAAGCAGGTAATAGTGCTAGCTAAGATAGTTGAGAAGAAGAATTATGGTGCAGGGGCCAAAGGCTACAAAAGTAATTGTAAGACTATTGTCATTAGATGTGTCCGTATTTCTAGATTTAGTAAGTTTGTAGTGTTTTCTACCGTATCTGCTGACATGGCAAACTGGAGTTTCACGGCAATTACAACCCGGACTCTTTCCGTACAAGTTCTATAAATCAAGCCGTACGTCCCTTAGGATTATTACCGTGATTCTTATACAATATTTAATATACCTTGTGTTATGAGTGAAAAAAGTAATTTAAGCGCAACCATTAAAAAATGCTTATGCATGACTAACCAACGGACGTATATATGTCACTAGAGTAATTAGAAAATTAATTTCTTACTGTCTGTCTGCGCATTAATATTTTATGATACATAAATTGTGCGTTATATATAAAAGACTTGTAAACATTTTATTAAACTAACCAGAGGTACGTTCAAAACGATAATTTTATTAAGTTACTTTTAAACGAACGGGATTTTTGATTTACATAACTAAGTTATTGCCCATCTATAAGTCTTTTTGTTCTGCTTAATATAGGAATAACTATTACCATATATTCAGCTATTAGTAGTTATTCGACCATTAGTGGTCCGAATATTTCAAATTATCGAAAACTGATAATATTACTTATGGGTACTTCTGTCGACAGATGTCACTAAGAAATCGATGGGAAACGCGTCTGCTTACAGCGTGTTTCTTCTCTATTTAACTAGTGTATTATTTTGATGTAATTTGTCTAATTCGCTTAACTTTAGGAACTAATTTTAAAAAAGTTGCAGCTGTGACTTCTATTTCCAATGCAGGTGAGAAACAACTATAGAAAGTGAACATAGTGTTTCAGATTGCTTAATTATTGAAAAACACCTCTAATAATTTTTATTTTTAATTTGTTTCTATGATCTTCATCGATAATACGGTGTTGTCGCTAACTTACACGTATATAGTACGTGAACACATGTTGTAAATAAATTGTTGGGGAAAACTGCATTAGATAATCTTTGTACAGTAATTTTGTTTTATATTGTACTTGTTTTTTTATTGATTTTTTTGTTTGTCAGTTACAAATATTAAAAATATTACAAAAATTAAAGTAATTTTACTTTATCTTATTGTGCTGTGAAAATGAATATATTGGAGCTCGCGCCGACGAATTTTGACATGACTTTACACATATATGTGTGCGTGTCGATATTAGCCAGTTGAAAATAGAGATCAGAACGATGTCATTGACCAAAAACGTTAGATCAAACTAGAACAAAACAAAGAATAATAAAAAGGAAAGAACACGGAGTTTATAGGAATTGCAAGCGTAGTTTTAACTACGGTATGCACATGTTACTTTAGTTTTCCAACCGAGGAGACAAATAAAACGATCTTGTATACGTCAAGCTATATAACTGCTTCTATTTTCACTAGTCAGATTCAAATGTATGATTGATCCTTCATATATAATAAGAAACGGTTACACGTAAAAAACTAACAAGGGGGTAGATATGTTAATATAATAATAGAAATGTTTTGTAGCGGCAGGCAATCTGTACAAGTTTATTGAAAATTCTTGTATCAAATTTTTGTTTGGTGGTGAAACATTTGATGAAATAAGGGACGTCACTGGCATAAATCGGCTGCCACAAATATGCATTAAACGTCGATGTTCGTCGTTGTGTTTTTACAGCGTATATTTACAATGCGTATTTTTGCTGCGCGTCTGCGTCATTCTTTGTGTTTTTAATTTGTCTCTATGCTAGAGATCAGGTGTTTAATGAGAAATATCTGTTTGAACCTAAAATGGTGCAATGTGATCGATGTCTTACTGGTGAACAAGGTTCCTAAAGACGAAGCTCTTAAACAAATTATTAATGTGACTTCCGGGCTTCTTTGTATATCAAACATTTTGTTTTCTGCACGATTAAGAAATGAATAAAGGATGATTTAAATGAATCCCATTGAAGGAGATACCGTAAAGCTTGCTGAGAAGTGTAATCTTAATGACACGTTATCGTATGATCCGTCGGGGGTTTCTTTCGAACGCGGCTATGTTAAATTACAGGTCGAATTCCCCGATTCCTACCCTATCGTGCCACCACGCCGCCGCTTTTTGACTATAATCTGGCGTCCAAATGTGTTTCTGGATGGCGAAGTCAACTGGTTTCAACCGGAAAGCTGGTCCGTGCACTGGAAAAGCAGATATGTTTTAATCGAGCTAGTTTCACCTTTAAGGGAGTCCAGTGCACTCTGTATGTACTCTATGGTTGGTACGATCGGTGGACAGCGAACAATGATAAAAATGACAAGCGCGTGAGACATACCGAAATGCATAGGGGCAATATACGTTGACCGTGAATGCAGTAATACGGCTGTACCAGCAATCATAGGGAAGCGCGAAGTTTCTTTATAAACGCCGACCCAGCAACAAAAAAGTAATGGACATTGCGTATGGCTAAAACAACCTAAATACTATTCAAATAGATACTCCGATGAAGTTAACTATTATTATCCACTCAGCGGAAGCTACTTCGGAGACCCAATCGCTTATTCGTGAGCTATCTCAAACGGCATCGTTTAAAGTGTAAGATTAGTCATCGCATCGTGATTCTCATGTTCTCGTAACGGCTATTAAGAACGCATTATACTCTTCTTCGCGTACACCATGTTAGATGCCAGACTAAACAGTTGACAATTCACAAATTTGAATTATGTAAAGAACGGTTTGATCATTCTCGTTAAGGTATGTGCATCTGAGACCCAACTTACTCGTGTTAACCTGAAGTGCTACGTGATTGCATTCACACTTTTAATAGATCCTACAAATTGACTGTACGCCTAAGTTTGCACCTAGCTAAATAGAGATTTTAATACAAAATAAAAAGATAATTTGAGGACGGTTTTATTTTCTCTATTTGCAACATGTGTATTTATCGCTGCAGTATATGGCTCGAATCGCGATTTATACCGACTCGAATTCTCGTGAGGAATTAATTGATTACGCACGCGGCATAAGACTCAAAGATCCCTTCTTATTTCTCAATCAATTTAAACCGTCCAGAAATAAATATTTAGATCGTCGTTTCGTCACTGAGACCAATAATGGAATACAACTATACGTAATTTCTTCATCTAATTTACTTTCGTATTCTCATTTTACGAAATTTCTTATTTTCATGTTTATCGCACTACATAACACAGCCGATTTTACTACGAAACTACAAAATTACAAAGAGGAATATGTTTGTTACAAGTGTTTTCTCGCAACGATATTATTAATATTTACAATGCCATATTCAAATAAGCATTGTAGACACACGACCCGGCAGGCAATTAAGAAGTTACCATAGAAAAAACATTACATTTACCAAAGAAAAGAATGCCATGGTGTAGTCATTTCGACGTCTAATCTAATATTCCTCTAAATTATTAATTACTTAGTTGTGGATGCTATTGGTCACTGAATATTTAGCAATAAGATATATTTTGCCTTATTCT